TTACCCTGCCGGTCCTACGCCACCCAACCTGCTGTGTTTGTCGCTAGAGCACCTTTAGAGGTCAGAGGAGTGACGTTTACCTGCACAGCACTTACTAGCTGGCCTTCGTTACACTCACCCCCCTAAACCTCACTCCTATCCAGGTCACAGCACCAATGTAACCCCACCGGTCCTACGCCACCCAACCCGCTCCGAACTGGTATCAAACCGGCCTCTTTCCGCATGGGAGTTGGTTGCTCTACCAAGGAGGCTAAAGACCATAGCCTCTAGCGTCTGTCACTAGAGCACCTTTAGAGGTCAGAGGAGTGAGGTTTACCTGCACAGCACTTACTAGCTGGCCTCCGTTACACTTATATCTGTATTTTGTGGGGACTGTCGTTTAAAATGTCCATGTTTCGTTTCATAGTGGCGTTTCACATTTTCACTCTTTACAACTCCCATTGTCTCATTACAAATCAAGCAGAATGGCTTTGTGCTGACTTGTGGCAAAATAAACAGGTACTTATCTGTCCATTCAACTTTGAATGCTCTGTTCTCCCTATTAAGTTTACTTTTCCTTGAGACCGACATCTTCATGCATTCAAATGATTGCAAATGAGGCGCGTGCGCGATTAGCCCGCTTGATCACGTAAAGCCTCAGTGAATGATCAGTGAATGTCAACAGAGTCACACAGGAAAACTTTAAATATTTTGCCTTTGATTTTATTTTGGTCAAAAGGCTAAACAGTTTATTTACAAGGTTTATGCATTTATCAATGAAGGAAGTCCACAATTTGAATCCTTTACGCATGCTCTTGCAATATGAAACGGAGTCTGGTCTGGATTAAATACCCTCAGGGTCCAGACTTTGAGAAGCCCTGGTGTAGGGCCTTCTTTTGCAGCCAAGACAGCATCAGTTCATCTTGGGGATGAGCATAACAAGTCCTTCACAGTGGCCAGGGGGATTTTGAGTCATTCTAGCAGAATAGTGGCCAGGCCACTATATGATGCTGGTAGAGGAATATGTTACCTGACTCGCTCCTCCAAAACCCCCCAAAGTGGCTTAAAATTATTTAGATCTGCTGATTGTTTAAAAAGATTTATATTTGCTAAAACCATGAAAAAATGCATTTAAGTGAAGTTTCACAAACTAATTTCGAGAGGAGCACGTGATATGATTGACCTCTGCTGGTCTCTCATCTGCAATCATTAGTAAGCCAATCAGATTAATCCAAACTCGCTATAAGTAGCCTAGCAAAAAAATTACTCCCTTCATTTTCCGAAGAAACCCCCCATCCACCCCTTCTCCCCCTCTTTTCCTTCATCACAGGGAGCTCTCAAGAACCACCTGACCCCTTACATGCTCTATCGACCAGGCAGGAGCCCTGGGCTCAATTATCTCCGAGCTCAGGGTTCTCTCCCGGGACAACATGCCAAACCTGCTAATAGCGTCAAGCAGTATCTTAGGGCCTACTTACACTATGCCATCCGTACCGTGCCCAGGCCCGTTTCCCGGATCGTTTGAGAAGTGTGAGTGCGCTGAATCGCGCTCAAGCACGGTTTACTTGGCCAGCCCTGGCCCGGTTGGAAGAGGTGTGCCTGAGCGCGGTACACTTGGGCTTTGGCGCGGTACGCTTGTGTGTGAGTGCAAAATGCGCCAAAGCCCGAAAGTGAGACGTGACATTTAAGGGACTGTTTGATATGGATTTATTAATCATTCTTACTGTTTAGTGAACGCAAACTGCCGTCGTTTATTAAAGACGCAAACTGCTCACAGCACGCCAGCTGCGCGCCTTCAGCAGACCTCCTCATTCCTGCAGCATGAGAGCTTAATGATTGTTTATGAGCGGCAAAAGTGGCGTATCTGTTTGGCGAAATATCTGACTGCGTGTCCCCGCATCCCTAAGGACTGTTTGGCGAAATATTTGACTGCATGTCAAACAACTGAAACGATATAACTAGAGAAATCTCCACTGTGCTACTGAGCGAGAGCGTATGGCAAGCCGTTTTAGCATTTAAACCTTGTTCTGACTATCCATAAATATATTTAGAGATATCTAATTATATTTTTACTAGTCATAATTATAATTCGACTAGTCAGAATGACAATTAGAGATATCTGCAATTACAATTGTACTAGTACGAAATCAGATTGGAGATATCTGCAAATATATTATGACTAGTCATATTCCTCCATTGACTTCCATTGAAAAATATTTACAGATATCTCTGAGTTTTGACTCGTCAAAAATCCAATTCAAGATATCTACAACTGTAATTCGACTATTAGTAAATTAATTTGAGATCTTCAAATATTTTTGTAAATATGTCTAAATATGATGAATTAAAGACATCTCCAAATGTATTATGACTAGTAAAAACTCAGAGATATCTCTAATTACAATTGTCACTAGTCAAAACTCATTTAGAGATATCTGCAAATATTTTTCAATGGAAGTCAATGGAGGAATATGACTAGTCATAATATATTTGGAGATATCTCCAATCTGATTTCGTACTAGTACAATTGTAATTGCAGATATCTCTAATTGTCATTCTGACTAGTCGAATTATAATTATGACTAGTCAAAATATAATTAGAGATATCTCTAAATATATTTAGGGAGTCAGAACAAAGATTTAAATGCTTAAAAGGCTTGCCATAGAGAGCGCTTCTGAACAGCCCAGCAGCGATGACGTAAGTGTGCCGAGGCCCAATATGGTGTGAGCGCGGGCCGTCGGGGGAGACGGGAGGGGGGACAAGCGTGCTTTGGCCCGGTTCGAGGCAACTGTACCTAGTGTGAGTACGGCCTAAGTGTGAACTCTTGAAATGGATGAGTGGAGGGCCATGAATCTGCCATTATATGTCTTTGAAAACAGGTGGTATGTTAAGGCAAGGGGTCCTAAAAGAGGGTTTGGGAATACAATGCAGAACCATCTGTGTAAATACAGCCAGAAAAGCATGAAATGTGTTCAACAAATTGTCATGTATGTTTGATAAGACACACTATATGGGAGAGAAATCCCCAGTCCAGTTTAGATGTTGAGACGTAAACAGAAATCATAATTGCAAAATTTGAACTGTATGTGGAAAACAGTGATGAATACATTAGATCTGTACAATTTTATAAGGGCCAAAAAGAAGAGGGAGGGGGTTAAATTGGGGTCATAAAGGAGTAGGAGCTTGGAGCTGTGAAAACACAAAGGTGGGAAGGAAGAAGGGTACAGCAACTTTAAGGGACATCAGATTGTCCTGGGGAGAGACTGAAGATAGGTTTACTCTGGACGTCTCTGCATTATTATAATTCCCAATACAGTCTATTCTTCTGACATTCATAGCCTCCAGACTGAGTTTGATTAGGCCGGAAAACCATGACACAGTGATGTCCAAGGCATGGGAGATGTCCAAATTGCATTTTCATGTTCATTAAACTACTCCATCACTATGTGTATTGGGGCATTATCATCTTGATACACTGCACCGCCTTCAAGATACAATGTTTGCACCATTGGGTGCACATGGTCTTCCAGAATGGTTTGGTAATCCATGGCAGCGACCCAGCGCCCATCTAGCACAAGTATTGGGCCTTGGGAATCCCATGATATTAAAGCCCAAATTATCACTGATCCATCCCCATGATCGACTGCTGCATGCCTAAAGTGTCTTCTTTGAGGCTTCTCCACACTGTAACTCTCCCAGATGTGGGAAAGACAGTGAAGGCGTGCTTATCAGAGAACAATCTGTTTCACACTGTCCACAGCCCAAGAGTTTCGCTGCTGTCTGGCATTGGCACGAGTGACCAAAAGTTTGGCTATAGCAGCCAGCCATATATATTCACCCTGTGGAGCTCCTGATGAACAGTTTTGGTGGAAACAGGAGACTTGAGGTCCACATTTAACTCTACAGTGAGTTGGGCAGCTGTGGTTTTGTTTTGTTTTTTGGATACAATCTGGGTTGGCACCCAGAAATCTCTTTCAGACAGCTTCCTCTTGCATCTCCAATTACTCCTGTTGGATGTGGTTTGTCTTTCTCGGTTATGGGTCCCAAACTCTATTCCTGGAGGGTCACAGCTCTGCACAATTTTGCTCCAACCCTAATCAAACACAGCTGATCCAACTAATCAAGGTGTTCAAGACTACTAGAGACTAATAAGTAGGTGTGAGTTGGAGCTAAAATCTGCAGAGCTGTGGCCCTCCAGGAATTAAGTTTGAGACCACCGTTCTTGGTGGTATGCTGACATTAGCCTGGATGCCGTGGCTCTTTTTACATCACTAAGACTTGCTGTCTTGGTCACAGATGCACCAATAAGACCCAAACCAGCAATTTGTCCTCATTTAAAGTCTGATATGTCACCCAAATCGTTGTGTGCATTGCAATATTTTAAGCAAATCTGTGCTAATTAAAACTTCTTCACACTCGGTTCTTACTGGTGGAATGTGCAATCAATGAAGATTGGCCTCCAAGCTGGTCACATTTAGCCATGAAATTTCCTACCCTAAACTGTCCAGAGTTTCAGTTCAATGTCCAACTCCTGTACATTACCACGGCAACAACTCGTATGTATTCCAAAGAGTTCTGTTATCACTGGAAACTGAAACCTAGCTCGACTTCTTGCGGCTGAGGTGTTTTACCACCTTAGTATAAAAACAAATAATAAACCTTTATGTGAGGGTTTAGCCATTCAGTTGTGGTGTTGTTGCATTAACTAATGTATGATTCACCAATCAGACAATTCCTAACCCACTATAAAGAGCCAGGGTTTCTAACTACAGTCATCTTAAATTTGAAGATTCCCCTCCTACTCCTCCACTTTTCCCTTCATAGGATGGCACGGTGGCCCAGGGATTAACACTGTTGCCTCACAGCAAGAACGTCACCGGTTCTAGTCCTTAAACAGGCCGGCTGCCGTTTCTGTGCGAACTTAGCATGTTCTTCCTGTGCTTGTGTGTGTTTCCCCTGGGTTTTCCGATTTCCTCCCACATTGCAAAAACATGCACCTTAAGGGATTTGATCAATCTAAATTTAGCACTTCAGTCAAACTCTCATCCAGCAGCACATCTCTTTATACCATTAATCTTCTGTCGTCAGCTCGGAGTTCTTGAGACCTACCAGAGCTCAGAGCTCCCCTCTTGCCTTGCAAACAGGAGGGAGCCCAGGGCTCAAGGACAGCATGCCAAACTCTTGCAAAAGTCTTTAAATGCTGTCTTCTTGTTTTTATTTCAGGCCTAATGGAGGAGACACGCCAACCTGTGAAAAAGAGAGGAAAAACTCGCTCCAAAGGGAAAGGAAAATCACTGAAGAAAAAAGAGAAACGCTCAGATTTTACCTGCGCTCAGTGTGGAAAGAGTCTGTCATGCAAAAAAACTCTGAATTATCACATGAGGATTCATACAGGAGAGAAACCATACACATGTTCTCAGTGTGGGGAGAGTTTCAGATACTTAACATCTCTTAATAAACACAAGAGGACCCACACCGGAGAGACACCATTCACCTGCACTCAGTGTGGCTTGAGTCTGAATTGCAAACAGAGTCTGGAGATGCACATGAGGATCCACACTGGAGAGAAACCGTTCACATGTTCTCAGTGTGGGAAGAGTTTCAGTCAAGCCTCAACCCGTAATAGACACATGATCATCCACAATGGAGAGAAAACACACGAATGTGACCAATGTGGGAAAGCCTTTTTGAGGGCTTCAGAACTGAAGATTCACCTTAGAGTTCATACAAAGGAGAAATCCTATTCATGCTCTGTGTGTGGAAAGACTTTTAAGCACCTCCACACTTTAAGAGTTCATGAGAAGACCCACACTGGAGTGAGAGAGTTCATGTGCTTTGAGTGTGAGAAGACCTTTATTACAGCTATAGCCTTAAAACTGCACAAGAGGACTCACACTGAAGAGAAACCTTACCAGTGTGAACACTGTGACAAGAGATTTAGACTGCCAAACACCTTGAAAGCGCATGAGAGAATTCACACTGGAGAGAAACCTTACATGTGTTCACACTGTGACAAGAGATTCAGTCGGTTAGATTCACTGAAGTCACATGAGAAGGTTCACACTGGAGAGAAACCTTACAAGTGTTTGCTATGTGGGAAGAGCTTCAGTTGGTTACTGAGCCTGAAAATGCATGAGAGGATTCACACTGGAGAGAAACCTTACAAGTGTTCACACTGTGACAAGAGATTCAGTCAGCCAGAAGGCCTGAAATCACATAAGAAGATTCACTCTGAAGAGAAACCTCACAAGTGTGCACACTGTGGAAAGAGATTCAGACAACTACGAAGCCTGAAAATTCATGAAAGGATTCACACTGGAGAGAAACCCTACAAGTGTTCACACTGCGACAAGACATTCAGTTACTTAGAAAGCTTGAAATTACATGAGAGGATTCACACTGGAGAGAAATCTTACATGTGTTTCCAGTGCAAGAAGACATTCGGTAGGTTAGGACAACTGAAAAGACATGAGAGGATTCACACTGGAGAGAAACCGTACAAGTGTTCACACTGCGACAAGAGATTCAGTCGATCAGAAAACCTGAAAAAACATGCGGCGATTCACACTGGAGAGAAAACTAACTAGTGTTCACATTGCAACATGATTCAGTCAGCTACGAACCCTGCACAAACACAAGTGCAAGTATTTGCAGCTTAAGACTACTCAAACTACCCAAATGGCAAACATTTACCTAGACCAGGGGTCACCAAACTTGTTCCTGGAGGGCCGGTGTCCTGCAGATTTTAGCTCCAACCCTAATCAAACAGACCTGAACAGCTAATCAAGGTCTCATATGCATACTTGAAACACTCAGGCAGGTGTGTTGAAGAAAGTTGGAGCTAAACCCTGCAAAGACACCGGCCTTCCAGGACTGAGATTGGTGACCCCTGACTTAGACAGTCAAGCTGGGCGAATAATCGAAAAGTAATTGAAATCGACAATCAGAACCTGTAATCAATTTTTTTTCCAGGTCAATTTTTCAGTAATTTTCTCTACTGCGTATGGAGTCATGTGACACTGCTCTGTTAAGGCTGGTTTATACTTCTGCATCGAACCCTCAGGTATGAGTGGAAGCTGCGCCATATATGCCTCGAGACGGCGTATTTATTATTAAAATAAAATGATTATTGAAAATTATATTTTCTACTTTCGAAAACGTTGATAATTTATTTTGTTTCCAAAAGTGACTCGGTTTTAAGCAATGTGTGTTTCAATTCCAGTTGTTCAACATTGATGTTCAATATGTAATCATAAATAGAAGATAGTGTGTCCTCCTTCAATTATTTTAGGCCATCTCCACACTAGTGCGTTTTCATTTGAAAACGCATGTCTTTGTCTCCGTTTTGCCCTTCCGTCCACACTGAGACGTGTTTTTAGGAAACAAAAACGTATCTTTTTGAAAACGCTCTCCAAAGTGGATAAATTTGAAAACGCTGTTTTCGTGTCGTAGTGTAGACCGTGAAAACGGAGTCTTTCGAAAACGATGATGCGTTTTTTTGTCATGTGACAGTCATGTTACTAATTCGTTTACTTTAATTTCATTGTGGTTATGAGTTTAGTGATGTCGTCCTTACTGTGAGGGTAAGCAGCGTCATCAGCAGGATACTGTTCTTTAAAGTGGTCCAGTATATCGGCGTATTTGTTTTGGCATGTCTCCCAGTCTACATTTTCACTCTCTTTTGCAATTTTGTATTCATGTGTTACTCGACGCAGCAACTCCACTTCATTGTCAGTCCATTTAAAAAAACTCTGTGCTTTTCCTCGACATTTTGCCGAAAGTTTCAAAGAGCCGGAAAGAAAATAAACGTCGGGCGGAAATGACGCGTGCCGAATCGTCTTACGTTTCACGCATGCGCATTACAGGGTGAAAGCATTTGTAGTCGTTCCAGTGTGGATGACAAAGTTTTGGAAAACGAATAGAAACGACAGTGTGGACGTAAAGCGTTTTTAGAGGAAAACTCCGTTTTCAAATTTATCCGGATTAGTGTAGACATGGCCTTAGAATCAAGTGATACACCCTTCATTTAAAAATCTCTCACTTGTAATATGTTTACTGTACAAAACATGTCAGTGAACTATGAGGGCAAAAAAAAAATCGTTCTTTAATCATTACTGCGTTAAAACATTCATTAATCATTATCGAGTTTAATCGAGATTTTGATTTCAGGCCAAAACGCCCAGCCCTACTAGACCGCCCGTCAAATACAGATTTTTTTGGGACCACACTCCGAATGAAGAGCTATGAGACATTTTCCAGCAAGGAGATTTTTTTTCCATTGATGAAGATTGTAAACCAGCATCTGTTTTATCACATTCTCAACAGCGTTTCACATTTATGGTCATGCTCTTCAAAGTAATGTTTCTAAAAAGATTGTTAAATTTCGCTAACTATAATCCTTTAAGGCTCCTACACACCAAGACGTTTTTAGTTTGCGTTTATCGGCAGCGTTTTACAAACCGTTTTTCAGTGTTCAAACCCAATCGCTTTTCACTGGCGTCGAGCAGAAGAGTATGCTAAATCACTCTTTTGACGTTAGATGGCTCTGCACAACTATAAGCTTCTGACACCTGCTTATAACACAGAAGAAGTGGAGGAGCGGAAGTTCACACGCTTATTGCTAAATTTACTGGTGACTCAAACAAGCGTAAATGGTTCAAGCAGCAGCTCCTGCTCTAGTGATGAAGAAATGAATATTGTTCACAGAACAATAAGCAGCTCCACGTTCATATCGCCTCTGGGCATCTTTTTTTGATAGTTTTGCGCTTGAGCGCCTCCAAGTGCTGTTTACGGTAACTTCAGCAGCTCCGTGCACGTGAACAAAAGTGCCGATCTGATTGGTGGAGAAGGTTTTGACGCCGTGCGTCAAAACAAAAAAACGAGCATGAGGCGTTTTTTTTAAATGACGCTTTTGCCCCTGGTGTTTTGCGCGATGGTTTGCACAATCACATTGATGCCCTTTATTTAGTCACAAGGCGTTAAACGTTGACAGAAAACACGAGCAAAAAACGTATCGGTGTGCACGGGCCTTTACTCCCACCTAGGGTTGTCACGATACTGGAATTTGGTACCAATCAATACTGAAGGTTTTAAAATGTCCCTTTCCTGCTAACATGCTCAACAGAAATGACTGTGATTGGCCGTGAAGGTCATCAGTACAAATTATTATTATTATACATCCTTACTTCACAGTCTCTTCCATACATGCGCTTATAACCTACCGGTTAGACTATTGCAACTCTTTGGGCTTTCTAGGTCTCTGATTGCTCTCCTACAGTTTTTTTTTTAACAACAGATTTTAAACAAAGAGCCAGAGTTATGGACATGTCGCTCCAATTTTGAGGTCTTTCAATTGGCTATCAACGAGACAAAGAATCACATTTGAAATCCTTCTGTTTGTGTATAAAGCCTTACATGGACAATACCATTTCCAATGAGTTCATTTGTTTTATACAGTAATGCAGAATGTATAAGCGTTCATTTTATTATTCATTATTTCCGTTGTTTTGTTGCAGACCACACACAAAATAATGTTTGCATTTTGCTATGTTTATTGATGATGGTGGGATGGATATAAATTGTTGTCAGAATAAAGCATCAAAGACACAAAGCTGCCTCTCTCAGTCTACAGTCAGGCTACGTCTACACTAGTCCTTATAATTAGTGAAACGGTGGGAAAAATATGCGTATTTAAATAAAAATGTATTAGCTTGGACATGGTCTACTAACTAGCTCCTTATCCACCAAAATTATCCCCCCACCCCAAAAAAAATATTGATTACCATAAAGCTTTTTTTCACAACAGTTTTTTAAAATTATTATAATTTCAATGCTTACTCACAGGGCCGTTTATATCAAAGTTGATGTTTAGTCTCACCATGTTGGTGTTTCGTAACATCTAGTTTTTATGAGGTGGGTCATTAGCCCAACATCCTTACTTCACATTCTTTTGAAACTGCCATTTATTTTGCTCACGGTTCTGATCACATTATGGATTTTGAGTCGCGGATCAAACCATTTTTTAAGTCAAAAGGTGGAGGAGACAAAAGTAGCTTTCCACTTAGTAGAATTCATTGAGCGTAGTGGACGTGAGGGGCAATAATACACCAGGAGCTCCCCCAAATACTGGACAGCTGAGCCGTTCAAGGCTTTCAACTAGATACATTCAGCTGCTTCTACCAGAACAGCCTCCTGTCACCCTTGCAACTTTCGGTGAGTGACCCCTGCTACACAATGGATATATATAGGAATACCAAAGAGTTGGAACAGTGCCATCTGCTTTATGGCTTACGCCACACATTTTTCTCACAGCCTAGGTCAGGGATGGACAAACTTGATCCTGGGGGGGGGTCAGTGTCCAGTTTTTCTCCAACCCTAATCAAACACACCTGCCCGTAGCTTTCTAGTGATATTTAAGACGCTGATTAACATGTTCAGGTGTATTTGATTAGTGTTGTAGTAAAACTTTGCAGGGAAACCAACCCTTGAGAATTGTATACGATGTATTACATAAATTATACTACATAAATAAAATGGGAACGAAAGTCAGCTTTTTTTGGATCCCTGCCCATGTTGGAATAGAAGGAAATGAAGAGATCAAATAGCAAAAGAAGCATTAAAAGAGCCAAGTATTAACTTTAAGTTCAGCTTAAGTAAAGCAGAAGTGAAAGGGTTGATTGCATCCGAGATAAAGAGGAGGTGGCAGAACACATGGGACAAAGAGGAGAAGGGAAGACATTTATATGGAATTCAAAGGAATGTGGGTATGGAAAGGATTTGCATAATGAACAGGAAAGAATGTGTTACAATAACAAGATTACGAATAGGTCTCTGCTTTAAATCAATGCTTATTTAAATTTGGAAAGCATGAAAACTTTAACTGTGAAAGATGTGCTCTCCCTGAAACTGTATGTCGTGTGTTCATGGAATGTACAAAAATAAGTAATCAGCGCAAATCATTTTCTGAAGGATTAAAAGAGTTAAACCGTCAATTTCTGCTTAAAATATATTCTACAATGAAGAGATAAAAAGGTAAATATTGATGTTTTTAGATATTTGAAAGACATTGATTTAATGGATAGAATATAGGAGGTTTACCTTATGTGTGTGTGTGTGTGTTTTTGTTTTGTTTATGTATTTAAAAATATATATATATTTATAATATATGTATATGTATTTATAAATGTGTGTGTGTGTGTGTATATATATGTATATATATATATATATATATATATATATATATATATATATATATATATATATATATATATATATATATATCTTTTTAATATTAAATACATGTAGTATTCATTACTAATTCCTCAATATTTCCAATAATGTTTCTCTCCGGAAAATGCACCTTAAAGTTGGTTTGCCAAACGCCAGATAAAACTCCAGAAGAAGACGAAGACCCTTAAGGATCAAGTTTGTCCATCCCCAGCGTAGGTGCAGTTAGCCAGAAGATAACTTCTGTGCAACTTCTGGAGAAGTGGGTGCATGGTTTGGGTAATGTAACGGCAACCTCATACAAGCTCTTTTCAGCCTTGGATCCTGGTGGAATGTATTCTGGACAAAACAAAATGAAAACCACTGTCAGACCTGACAAATGCTAGAACCACTTAAAACAAACCACTTACTATTTCTCCTGACTGAAAACCCGCAATTCTTCTGAACCTACAGGCAGCCAATCGGCTTTCTCAGAACCAGCTACAGGCAGCCAATCGGCTTTCGCTGATCAACGTGCAGGCAAATATCCCGCCCACGGCGCTTATTCTGAGGCGGAGATGGAGAGAGCAGAACTTTGCTGTTTGACGTTTAATGGGTTTAATTCCTCTTCTGTTGCGGGTGTTGTTCGTCTGTTCAGAGTAAGTGTATGATATCTGACCATAGTAGCGTTCGCAGACTTGCGGGAATTATCTTGCGGTTTGAACCGCTTTAACATATGTGCTCAATGCTAATATACTCTCTTGTTTTTAGCTCGATGCTACGCTGTAAACACTCTTGTAATGTCTTACTCACGGGTTATCTGGACACCTTTCATTTGTGTCTCCATCTAATTCATTCACTAAGAGGTAGTTTAATGCTGATTATATTGAATATTGACTGTTTAACTGAACATATGCTTGTGTAAACCATTGAAGAGACGCAAACGCTTAATTTTGCAGTAAAACAGAATTTGGGATCAGTATAATAATATAAAACACTTAATTCATTAAAATATATATAGAGAAATTAGAGACACGATCATGCTGCACACATGACATGTAGAATCGGCTACTCAAGACTTACACATACATTTATTAAACAGAGGAGAAACACCTATTTGTAGCTTGTTTAAGAATAATTTAATGATAAAACATTTTAATAGCTTGCATTTTTGAATTGTGTTCCTGTGAATATAGCCAATGCGGCTAATATGGCATTTAAATATCATCTTATAAATATAAGCAAACAATGTGTTAGAAGTTAGACAAAATGTGAGTGTTTTTAATGTTGACAGATTTGTCCCTCCTCCTCCAGTGAAGCTCCTCCTCCTTCAGTTCAGCTATAAACACAGGAATATTCCCATCAGGATCAAGTGAAGAGTTCACTGAAGGACAGTGAGAACATGAGTGATCCAGAACCCTGCAGAATTAAACATGAAGATGCTGAACAACAAATAGGTTGGTGTTTATTCCTAATTCTTCATTAGTAAGCCAATAATGTTGAAAAGCTTTATCTGAGTTATTGAATAAGCACAAAAAAAAAAAACAAGTGATTTACATAGTTTCCGCTACATTCAATCTGCCATGGTTGGGGCGCCACACCAAAGTTCATGCCGCCACGGCTACATTACAGCTTCTAATTCCAATAGTATCTGGATGCAGCCTTTATGATGCAAGCTGAGACTGCATCACTCAGCGATGCAATGTCAGACACAATGCACTCAAGTGGAGCGAGTGACATCACTGTGACGGGTAGGGTTAGGGGTGGGGTTAGGTGAGCCCATTAAAAAGCATTGGATGCAGCCCAGATTGCACTGCACCAGGTCTGCAGCCAGACCCCTGTCTCTAATTCACAATTCAGTCATTGTTGTTTTTTTTTTATAGCGAGTAATAATCGCACCAAATTGCATTAAAAGGTAAGTGAATTATAACAGCGCAACTGTAACCGTAGTAGTGCTGTGCGTTATTTGTTTAACCGTTTAAGGTGACATGCTTACAGGCTGACGGACAGGTGTGTGATGCCTGTGGCCAGCAAACACGGCATCGCTTTCAATTAAGATGAACACAGTTTCCATAATTATACTTTATTTATAGATAAAGGCCTGTGGTTCTGCATACAATGACTATGCTGGAGTTTATTGCCGTTTCACTTTACTTCAGAACACATCAATGTCGCTCTGTAAGTCTATTGGAGACATTCATAAACATTTCTAGCAAGTCTAATAAAGGTTGTAGACATACTCGTTACATAAACACTCACACTGAAGCAGCTTTTATTTGAGAGCGCACAAGAAGATCTGCGCCTGAGGTCTGTGGTTCTGCATATAATGACTATCATGCTGGAGTTTATTGCCGTTTCACTTTACTTCAGAACACATCAATGTCGCTCTGTAGGTCTATTGGAGACATTCATAAATATTTCTAGCAAGTCTAATAAAGGTTGGAGACATACTCGTTACATAAACACTCACACTGCAGCAGCTTTTATTTGAGAGCGCACAAGAAGATCTGCGCCTGAGCAGTGTATATTTGAGGGCGTGCAAGAAGTTTTGTGCATGAACAGAGGAAATCGGCACGCAAGCAAAGAGATTCACATGCTCGTATTACATGAATGCGATTTTGACTTGTAATACTGCGCTCACAACATTTGTCATGGAAATAACGTCATACGTAGTTGAGAGATCTGTGTAAAAGGCATGCTGCAACAGCTGGGATAAATCCTTGAAGAAACACTGCACTGTCTTACTCCATATAAAAGGTAGAAACTAAGCTTTTTTGCACTGTAACTGATAATCAACAGAATTAAAATTATGGCTTGTATACCCAGGTGAAAAAAATATATAATTAAATGCAATTAAAATACACTTAAATACCCACAAATACATTTTTAGTACATTGTTATTTTTTTGTGTTAAATAAAAGTTTGATGGTTTTACACTATACATACTAATTAAAGGTATATTTATACTTCAGTAGGTCTTTAGTACACTTGACAAAGTATACTAAATACCAGTAATACTTAAATACATTTTAGTGTACAACAAGAAAGTACACTACAGAAAAAACATCCAAAAGAGTTTTATTAATGTGTTTTCAAGTGTGCTGTAAATGCTTTAACCATCAGTTGATTTTTAGTACACTGTTTACATATTAATCCTAAGTTTAAAATAAGTTAATATATTAAAAATCTATTAGTAATGTATTGTAGTAGAAGTACATTTTCCCAAAATACTTTTAATACAGTATTTAGCACACTTTTTTAGCACACTTTTAATATATTACTATTATACTTTAAATTATTCATAAATATATTTAAATGTTTAAAATTAGGGTTCAAGTGTATTTCTAGTTGTAACTAAATATAGTTTTTAAAATACAGATATAGTATGTTAAAAGCACATTTTAGTTCAGTTTCAGA